GGGCTGAGTTTCAGCTGGTGGACGGGTGAGTGGATGGGCACAGAACTCAACACTGAGGTAGGAAAGGCAAAACATGAGCCTTCAAAGTTTTTGCTTAATGTCAGTTCTTCTGCAAAGAAAGACGCAGCTTCTCTTTTGCACGAGGCGACAGGGGGGCTGGGAGTGGAAGACAAGATCTCTGATTCATATTGCAGCAACTGGCCCATGAAACCAAAGTTTGGTGAGATCAGGCTCCGGCGCTGCTTGACATAATCAAAGGCTTCCTCCAAGCGGAGTTTCTTCGTCTTCATGAGATATGCCATGCAAATGGTGGGAGAGCGCGAAATCCCTGCTTCGCAGTGCACCAGGATCTTGCCCCCTGTTCGTCTGACATAATCTAGGGGAAAAAAAGTCATTGCAGACGTTGGTTGTTGTTGGGGTCGGAAAGGACACTGCGACACGCACCCAGCACTGACTGTGGAGTGTGGCACGCAGCCAGCCCACCAGCAAGGAGAGGCTTGCTCTTCTGTTGGGTACGAAGAGTAATGGAGATTAAGTGAGAAAGGAGACAGAACCCTGCCTGGGGCAGAGCTGAGCTGCAGAGAACACTTGGTTTCAGGATCTGTGGATCCTGATTTGGTTCTTTCTGCATTTCTTAGGAAAGTCCTTCCCTGCCTCCTTCCCACATGCCTATTTCTCTTCTGGAACAACTCACTTTGCAGAGCATTGTGAGACAGAGAAAACAGGACTTGTCTTCAAAGTCCGAACCTAACCCCCTGCTTGGCTGTTTAGCAGCAAACGGTGGTAGCAGGAACTACCTTGGTGGGTACCCTTGGGTGGAGGGGCTGAGCTCACTCACTGGGGCCTCACCACAAAGCACACAAGGACTGGTAGGCAGTTGCTAATTACAGCCTGGTTAAAGGATGCTTGGACTTAAGTGAGGATATAAAAGGCTTATGCAAAGCACCCATTTTACACAACAGGAGCCACTGTGGTTACTCACACAACACAATGATTGTTATTAGATTAAAGAGAATGTGCTTAAAATAAGCCCTTTCCACACAAAAATACAGTTCAAAAATAGACGTTTTCTACTCTATTGCCTTGAGAAATATGTTCAACTCCAGTTTATAGAGAACTGTGCTGAGTGTAGGGCTCAGTGCATGGCACTGAAACAACGCAGGGCTGAGCAAGTTATCATTTGCCTGTCTTCAACAGTCTGCCAGGGGACTGGTGCCACCACAACCAGTTATATTTAACTACTGCACAAAATAAGGAAGACATGGATTTGAGTCATCCCCAGCATCTACACTACACATCCAATTTTAAAAGAAAGTGAAAACTAAAGTCATCCTCAAAATCTGGGAAATTTCCAAGTGACTCAACTATCAGAAATGGTTGGGGATGAGATAGAAGAGTTAGCATTTCCCCAAAACATGTGAGGAAGGGGAAGGGCTCCGAGGGGACCCTCAAATCAGGATTTTTAATTTTGCCTGTACTGTGGAAGGGCTCAAACTCAGCTGAGCAACGAGTCCAGCAAGTCTGCAACTGAGGTTTTATTCTGTTTCTCTCTCAAATGTTCCTGGAGAGCAACAGCACTGATTTCAACACCATCTCCGCCCAGGCTGAGGCTGCTCCACCCCACTAAACCAACCTGTGCCTCTCTGGGAAGAGCCTCTCCTTTGACAGTGTGCCACTTGCCTACTCAGCTTAATGCAGGAAGATTTGGGAGGGGATGGCCTAAAGTTTTCTGAAGGGCTCCTTATTGTTTTGCACTGGGGTATTTGATTAGCGGGTGAAACACCAACATGATCAAAAGGAGAAATACAAACAGCTCTGTGATAAGGGGAGATGCTGGATATCCCAGCACTGCAAGGCAACAAACTGGCCCTGCTTCACCTGGCTTTTACAGGGTCTGGCATGCAGGGCCAAGGAACTGGTATGGGTTTTTCCTTTACAAAAATCAATAGACTTTGGTGTTGTTCAACCATACTCCTTTGCTTCCTGTCGTGCTGAAGTTACACCTACTCTTGCTTTGAAAAGAAAATAAAGCTAACCAGCTTGTCTGCCTCACGGCAGCCAAGAGCAAACATTTTCCTTCCTTGGCCTCCCAGCCTGGAACGCTGGAGAGAAGGACAGAGACCTTGCTCTGAATGTCCTTCTTCCTTCCTTCCTCAGCGAAATGTCTCTGCCAAGGCAGATGCTGGAGAAGGGAGTGAGCTCCAACTTTTGCTGTGACATCTGGGAACATACAGAAAATAACGTGTCCTTCCCACCAATATATATTTTAAAATAAATGTATTTAATATGAATATCTGGAAATTTGTTATTTGGACCTACCGATAAAGTCGATGGCTTCCTGGAAGTGTGAGCTGATGTCTGCTGTGTGACTGTCCTCCACTGGGATCCACTTGTAGCAATACTGATCTTTGAAGGACTCCGAGCTTTTCCTGGAGACATTGAGCAGGGCCGTGATGTGCAGGTTGGCAAGAAACTCGCACTTGGAAGCATGATAGGCACTACCAAGGTAGAGAAAAGGCAGGATTTCAACTGGACCACCCTGAAAGAGAAGAAACAGGAACGTGTAATTCTTTTTCAAGGATATTTGAATCTTGATACCAGAAAGAAAAAGGCAAGGGAGCCTGCGTGGGTGCCCCCTCCCTCCCTCCCTGGCTGTTTTGGACCCCGATGATGCCGGTCAGTGAGTCACTGCAATGGCAAAGCCCACGCAGGAAACAGGTTTTCATTTTCTTGTCCACATCTGCAAGGTACAGTCTGATCCAGCCCACTTATGCACAGGGTGTTTCCTGCTTTCTTTAAATTCCTGCCCCTTGGGATGCGCCCAAAGCACTTTCATATGTGAAGGTCGTTCCCTCCGAGGCTTTGCTTAAACACAGGCAGGGCAGGGAGCTGTGTCTGAGCCGGGAAGAAGAGGAGGATGGAGGAGGCTGCTGCAGCTCAGCCCAAGGCTCAGTCTTTCCACTCACACCTCTAAAGATGAAGGAAAACAAAAAAGACTTGGAGCAAAGCTCCCAGTCCGCAACAGCCCTGTGGGGCTTGGGGAGGGGTAGCCCCATCTCCCCACACCTCTGTGGGGCAGAGCACTCACTGCATCATCCACCCTGAGATGTCATCTCAGTTCCTCCTTCCTCAGCGCAAGCAAAAGCTGGGCGACGAGACTGCGAAAGAAAAAAGCCACCACCCGGCACAGGGTGTCGGGGATCGCAGGTAACTTTCCATGATGCACAAGAGCTTCCGCCAGCCCCCAGCTGTGAGAAACTGGCTTTCCGCCCCCCGAGCTGCCCACCCAGCGAGTCCCAGGCACTGGGGATAGCCAGGAGCTGTACAGGGTGGCAGGAGGGGTTCCCGGGGAGCTGAGCGGCATCACCCGGGGCTCCCCCAGTGCCAGGAAACGCACACCCCGGCGGAAGCGGCCCGACCGCAGGGTGACATCTTGGCACGCTTGTGTTCCCCAGGCCAGGCATGCGTGATGACTTCCCCTGTGGAAACCCCGCTCCTTCAGCCCATGGGCTGCTCTCGAGACACTGCCTCTTCTCAGAAACAGCCCCACAGCCACAGCCTCCACCACTACCCTCAGACCCCTCCTTGGATCACAGAGAAGGCACAGAGAGAGTGTGCTCCTTTGTCTGCCGGAAAAACGGTACCCCAGCAGCCTCTCCCCTGCTCGCTTTCAGTCTCCTGGGGAGATCCGAGCTGCTCATACTGCCTGGCTATGTGATAAAGACGGGTTGCAAATACAGTTTTGGGGCTAGACAGGAAGTGTTTCCTCCTTACGCTGCCCAATTTTGAAGCCAGGTGGAGGCAATGCTGACCAGCAGCACACACGGGGCATCTTTCTCAACCCACAGGCTGCCAACCCAGACTGCGCCAACTTTGAGACAGCCCTCACCATCACGAGGGCCACCGGCACCCTGCCAGCTCCACCAGAGCCCGGAGGCAGGAAGGAGGAGACCCAAGGGGAAGGTCACCTGCTGCGGCCATGGCACACACCTGGTCGTAAGCGGGTTTGTGGTTGGCACTCTGCTTCTCACAGTGGCTGGCGAGGTTTCTCTCTGCCTCAGTCCTCTCTGGGGAAATGAGTTTTCCATCCACACAGCACTCAGGATATTGCGAGTTAAAGGTTTCGTATCCCCCTAGGGAAAAAAAACAAAACAAAACCCACCAAAACCATCAATGTTTGTGCTTCCAAAAATTGGTTTAATTAAAGAGGAGAATTGAAGTTCCGACACTTGCAGTGCAGTGGGATAGTGCCACACGGCAATGGGCCCCTGGGGGTTAATGAGGGACAGTGATCCCCTGGGGAAATGGGTTTGTTTAAATGGCTTTGGGCACCAGAAGAAAAACCTCTGATACTGCTGACAATTATTAACTTGCTTGAGTCTAGCAACCATTAACTCCAGTACAGCAGGACTCAACTCCCTCCCCCAGGTTTTAGATATGAGCACTATTTCCAGACTGAGACCTCTAGCCAGGAGTCATCCTCTCCAAACGACATTACTATAAACTCTGTGACACCACAGGAAGTATTTCATTTGCATTTTTGAATGGACATAAGCACAAGAGGTGGATGCTTACAACTGTGTCACTAATCACCGCAATGCAGGAGACAGCGAGGTAAGGAAGACGGTCCCACTGAAACCAATCTATTAAATAACAGCTATAAAACTTAATGAAATCCTGTGACAGCATTTGACAACTGAATAGCCCCACATGAGCTATTCTGTATGGTTAAGTACTGCATTCGTTTCATTCAGTGCACTGCTAATGAAAAGGAATTAATCCCATTATTACACTGTTACTCAAAGTTTGTCGTCAGCTAAATTGTTGCCCGTTTCTAGGCTGGAAATACACTGCACGGAAGCACACAATCTCTAAAGTGAATGTGGATAAGTCAGGTAGCAGAAGCATCCCGGAAACATCAGTGGTGTGCCACGTGTCTGCCACCTGTGCTTTTTCAGAACAGAAATGAACGGCAAAAGCTCCTGAACAGCTAGATTCAAATAATCCCTCAGAGCATAGCCCTCAAGTAAACAAGGCTTGGAAAGCCAATCCGATAGGATTAATTCATCTGCAACTGTTTTGCCCTGATAAGCAGTGTTGGTGTGGATGCTGCAAGGAAAGGTTTTGAAACAAAGGAAGTGCTGAAGATCTGAGCAGCCACAAGGCCCCCGCCACCCTCTCTGCCAGGGCTGCCCGGTACAGCTACCTCTGACATTTCAGCCCTGTAAGGCTGGTGTCTCATTTGTTTGCAATGTTTGAGCAGATGTGTGCTCGAATTCATGACGCGCTACTGTTGCCCACTCAGTCCTGCCGTAGGGTCCTCGAGTTGCAAGCGGCCGGTACGATCCAAAGCCCACTGAACGTGATGAAAGTCTGTTTTCCATGACGGAGGGCAGGAGGGTGACTTTGCAGCCAACTGGCACTCAGCACCTGCACCTTTCCTCCTACTCCCTGGGTCCCAGCCACATTCAGCCAGCTCGCCCTGGAGCTCAGAGTACGAGGTCAAGTGACCATGGAGACCATGAGGGAAGGATTGATAGTGATATCCACAGCAACTGGGTTGATAAAATAATATCCCTAACAACTTGTAGCATGAAAAGTCAACAAACACAAGCAGGTATCCAGAATCCTCTGCTGTCCTGATCTCCAACTGCCCTTCATGGAGCAGACTTTTAAATCCTCTTGGTTTCACATAGCTGACCTTACCTCCCCACCAGCCCCCGGCCACTGACATCGTGTAGGAACAATATGTCCAGTTTATATAAATAGCCATTATCCCCATTCACATCCTGTGTTGTTGTTTTTTTTTTTTCTCTTGAATGAACACAGAAAACTGCCTGAGCCAAATCAGTGTGTGTGTTCGAACAGACACACATGTCTCGTGTCTCGGGGGCAGCTAACACATGCAGCTGGTGAATGGTTAATTACAAGCCTTGGGGATCAGGATATTTGCAGGCCATTCTTACAGTGAGTCATCTTCTCATCCCATCCTCCAGCAATCTCCTCTCTTCCCCCTCCCCACTCAACCTAGCTTCCCTGAGGTCATTTCTGCAAACACGAGATTGCTCATCACCAGGAGCTGGGCTGCGCTTCGGTTTTAATCAATAAATAATAGAATCCTTGTCAGCACCAAGGGAGGATCCGTTACTTTATCCTTCGGCAAGCTCTTCCCCTCCACACAACCACTCTCGCCATGCTGGGGCTGAGCTCACCCAGAATGAAACTGCACCTACACAGACGAAAGATGTGACACAACCCCTGGAAGTCAGAAAGCAAGGGAAGGAGCGGGGCCTGGCGTACAACTTCATCTTCAGTTGCTCTGTGCTGGCTGCCCTGCCTGAGGCCAGACCCCTGGACACTTGGGGGCTAGGCAAACAGCTCATAACACTGCAACATCTGAGGCGAGACCACCTTAGCCCTTGAGTACCTCCTCCCAGCTTGCCCACACCGAGGGGGAACAGGACTATAAGGGGGAGCCTCAAGGAGGTTTATTTTCTGATGGTTTTACAGCCCATTATTTGCCAAGTCGGTGCTGCAGACCCCCAAGGGACCCTTTTCTTCTGCTCAGTGCTTCAGGGTAATTTATGCCCCTGCTGTCCCAGAGATCTTCCAGACCACAGCAGCTTCCTGGGGGTCCATGGCCCCGGTGAATCAGCAGCACTGCCCACTGAGTCACTGGCTCCTCAGGCCACACCAGATCGAAAATGGACCTGCGAGCTTCACGGGCCTGATCCTGCACCCAGAGTGCTTCCAGCAAAGCAAAGGGGAACAGCAGCAGGAAAAGGAGGAAGCTTTCTCATTCACTAAGGGGGAGTCCTTTTAGACTGAAACCAACAGGCTTTCAAGACACTGTGCAATACGCAAAAGATACAAAGCAGCGCTTACATCAAAACCCCACCCCATATAAATGGCCCCCAGCCACAGTCACCACTTCAAAGCATAGGGCTGGGACATGAGGAGGGAAGAACGAGCTTGTGGCTAAAGCAGGCTGAGAGTCAGCAGAGCTTAATTCAGCCCCCGCTTTCCTACAGGTTTCCCAGCCTGACCCTGGAGATGTTTCTTCATCTCGAGTTTCCAAGGTCCCTAAGGATTTGACTGACCCAGCACAGTGGAAGTATCCCTGCCCTGCAGCAGCAGAACTGGTGCTTTTGGGGTGTCTGTCAGGCCCCAGGGCAGGCTGGCAATGTCCGGGCAGAGCCAGGGTGGTGGCAAAACGGCCCTGGGAGTCTCCCACTTCCTTGGTACCAGGCGATACCCAGGCTAGATATGCCCTCGGGGCACTCTTGGTTATAAGAGGGCACAAACTAGGCACATCAGGACTAACTAGTGTGACAAAAGGCTTATTAAAAGTGAATTAACCATGGCCAGCGAGGACACAGGGGCAGAATTTATTCAAGAAACATCACCTGGTCGTCTCCTGCATTTATGGCCTGAAGATATATGGCAGAGGGGGTGTTTAGGAACCCCTGCTTCGGCCTGGCCCCGGCAGCCGGGTGAGCGGTGCTGCGGGCGGGAGCGGCCCCGGCCGGGTACTGCCCCTCCGGGGGAGGGGAGTGGGCTGCGAGAACAGAGCGGGCACTAGGACAAAGGCGCTGCCGGGTGAATGGAGGGGAGGCAGGGTTGGGAGGACAGAGAAAGGGCGAGCTGCTGGGTTTTTATCGTTTTATTACCCCCGGCTCACACGGAAGGAAAACAAAGAACCGCAATCAACGGGCTATAACACACGTGGGGGGAGGAGGTATTTCTGATCCCCGACAAGCCCCGGAGTTTCGGCTGTGGGTTTCCGCCCGGGGTGGAGGAGCGGG